GTGTTCAAGCATGTGCTTAAGGGGTTGCGAGTTATCGATCTAGTGAATCTAAACTTGAAGAAGAAGAGTCCTCCTTCATTGGAGGGAGCGCATCCCCTTTTTATAGATAGAGGGGATGGCTTTACATGTGAGAGGGAGAGAGTGCGGATGTTTCTAAGCCTTGTTGCCCACGCCGATGAGGGTAGCGATGATGGTAGGCACCCACAATACTGTTGATGTCACTGTAGAATGTCAGGTGCACATGGGAGGTTGCGTTGGCTTCTTCAGGAAGGGTGGATGTCGGTACCTGCAAAATACTATTGGTGTGTGAGGAGCCCTACCCCGTGTACCAGGTATGGTGAACCCTAGCGCCCACTATCGATGCCCAGAGGTATGTGGGAGGCTTTTTGCCGTATGGGAGCCCGATGGCGCATATAATACTGTAGACACAAACGTCGGCGCCTACAATACTGTTTGTGTCAGGGCGGTTGAGGAGCACTGTTCCCACAGGCATACAGGGTATGGTCCCGGTATCGAGGTTTGACTTTGTGCACTGCCTTCTCTGTTTGCCCCTGTTTCCTTCCGAGCGGGTGTCCCTGGTCGGATGGCCCCAGTCGGCCCTGACCGTGCTTGTCGGAGAAGAGTGGTAAGCAGGCTTCCTACGGGGTCCCCGATCGAAGACGCGGGGTCGGAGCAGCAAGCGGTGCTTTGGGCTAGGCCTTTCCGATTGGGGAGACCGCCCGGAGGCGGCTGGTGCCCAAAGCGAATGCTCCAGTCATAGAGGTGGGCTGGAGAGGTTAACGAGCGAGCGTCTGTTTTTTGGTAGACCTTCCGGTCAGCAACCGGACTGTCCCTCTGGTCCGTCGTGTCTTAGGCTCTTGGGCCGGCCCACGATCTACATGCTGTTTTTCTGGGCCGAGCCCTGACGTAGAAGCCAGTCCTCGAGGGACTCCGGGTTTATGAACCCGACAATTACATAAGGGTAAAAGAATCAAAATTTTGGTTTTAAAATTTGGGTCCATTTGAGTATAAGAAAGACCATCGAAATGCTAGTCCACGGATCCATGCAAAAATGCATTAAAAAAAAGTTAGGGCATTTCACTCTTCCCAAGTATATTCATAGAGGCGTAAAGTGTCGTGTTTTTCTCTCGCGGTCTTTGCCGGTACGTGGAGCCGTCGATCGAGGCGAGGAGGCCCCGCGCCGCGCATCGATCGCCTTGTGTTGGGCACTGAAGTGGAACGACCTTCGTGCCCGGCTTCCTTTCGCCCACGAGCAGATCGAGGGGGAAATTTCGCCCGGGGCCGCAGCCAGGACAGCTCTGCTCTCTCGTGCTCGATTGACGACCGCGGTCGCGCCCTCGCCCCGCTGCGGAGGAATCTTTGCTGGGGGACGGGCCTTCATGTTGGCGCTTGCTGAAACATGCATCCGCACGTCCGCGAGTTCCGAGGCCATAGTTTTTGTGCTCTACGGCGAGGTCTAGAAGTGTTTAGCTGTTCCCACCACCGCTGTAGACGCGTGCCACTACACTATAATCCCGGCCGTTTAGACGCGCAAAGCGAAGCAGCGGTTTCACACTGTCGATGCGTCGATGTTTCTTTGTTTCTATACACTTGTAAGTCACATGCATGCTGGTACATCCAGTGCTAAGATCCCAGCAGACTATTATGTTCATGGAGTCTTGCCTACGTCCCTTTGCTATCGCGTGAAAGTGTGGTATACGGAGGGAGTAGTTATTCGCGAATCTGTGAAGGCTGCATCATGCGTCAACCTGTAGGTGTGCTCTTGTCGTAGGATGGGCGATCGTATCAGTGCAGGGCATCATGATTACTGTACCTCGGTCGCCACTAGCTAGCTTAGGCTGTGTTTAGTTCGTGAAATTTGAGAATTTGGTTATTGTAGCACTTTCGTTTTTATTTGACAATTAATGTTCAATCATGAACTAATTAGGCTCAAAACGTTCGTCTTACGATTTTCAACTAAACTGTGCAATTAGTTTTTTTTTTCGTCTACATTTAATGCTTTATATACGTATCACAAGATTCGATGTGATAACTACTGCAGCACTTTAAAAAAAAAAAATTAGAACTAAACATAGCCTTAGCTTCTGACCTTCTGTGCCTGTGACCTTCCGGGGCACGTGGCCTTGTGGGTTGTGCGCCTTGGATGAGGCCCTCTCACTCTCACGGTCGAAATTGAGCATCGACAGGACGTGACAACGCCGTCCGGATACCCGGAGCGCGGCCGGGGCCAAAACATCCCGTCGGACCGATCGGCAAAAAGGGCCACGTGGCCATGCTTCGAAACGTCAGTTCATGCCCTCCGTCCGCCCGGCCTTCTCCGCACGAACAACAATGAAACAAGACAGAAATCGGACGCGTCACGTTGAGCCGATATTAACAGTCTCAGACTCTCAGGCAGGTCGATCAGGCCGTCATCATACGCCTGTCAGTGGCCGGCGAATCACCGAGCCGCCGTAGGCTTTACAGGAGCCAGTCGTTTAACCACTGGCTGATTGCGTATCTGATGCAAGTACGCTACTGTGCAACATCACGACACAAGAGTGGAGTGCATGTGCATGAGACGAAACGGCGAGACCTAAACCTGGCTACGTGCCGGCCGGGGCGGCGTGCGCGACGCGAGGTGGGATCACAGGGCACTGATTAACACACGCACCTGCCACCTGGGCGTGTTCGGCAGTGACAAGATGCGACCAGGTTTGGCAACATTCTACTAGCCTTCTCAAAACGTGGCAGCGCTCGGGACGGGACGGGACGGGCACGGGGCCTGGCCTCTCTCTGCTCGCTCTAGGCCCGCCGTGCAGTCGCGTTGCGCGGAAACCGGGAGCGCACAGCGCACCGGCGGATCGATCGAGCCGAGCGATCAAGTGGCACTGGCACCAGCCACCAGGCAGACGCGGACAAGCTCAATGGCGCATGGAACTGGAACGAATCCGCCCGTTTTACCCCGACTGCCACTGCCAGAGTCTGAACGATGGCGCACGTCCTCCCGCGCGTGCGGGCGGAGGGCGAGCCGCGAGCAAGGCCCACTGCAAGGCTGCCCGATCGAATCAATCAGGCGCGCCGGCCTGAAGGTGCTGCTGCAGGTCGATGGCGACGCGCAAATCCCAACCGCGTCGAAGCGGTCTCACGCCGCGGCCGCGCGCGGACGGCGGACAGCTGCGGGCTGCCTGGTTGGTGGCTTGGTGCGATGCGGTTCGCCAACCATCACACACGGATGCGACATGGTCACCAACCGCGCCAGGTCGCCAACGAACGCGCACATGGCTGCTCTCCGAAGCCCGAACGCTCGACTCGAGTCTTTGCCGAAACTATGTAGACAGCAGACCACACAAGGCAACGTTCCCAGAGCATGCACGACGCCACGACGGGAAGTCTTCCTGTTCCAGGCCGTATCGTAGGAGGGAGTATATGCATTTCCGGCAATAGCTGCGGCATACGCCTGGGTGGTTCGAGATGAGGAGGTTGCCAGTTTGACACTTCCTCGTTGTTTGCCGGACTACCCTTACGTTTTTTCTATTCCTTCGTTGAAGCAGAGTCAGACAAAGCGGAGAGTACGTTCTAAGTTGTCAAGAAATAAGTAAAGTATTTCTTTGCCAATGATGCCACATGCACTTGGGACTCTGAATCATTTCGTCATGGACAACTTTTGTTTATCCATTCCAGAGTTGGCCAAAGCGGCGATTGGAATAAAAAGCGGAGTGAAATGCCGGATGGATTGTGGACCGTGTTTGTCAGAAAAAGAGTTCTTTTTGTCAGAGTCGAAAAGATGATACAGAACATAGCTAGCTGGGGTGTTTGGTTCTTAGACCACATTTTAGTCTCTGTCCCATCGAATGTTTGGACACATGTATAGAGTATTAAATATAGATTAAAAAAATAACTAATTACACAGATTACGACTAATTTGCGAGACGAATTTTTTAAGCCTAGTTAGTCCATGATTTTATTAATGTGGTGCTATAGTAAATATGTGCTAATGATGGATTAATTAGGTTTAATAGATTCATCTCGTAAATTAGTCTACTCTTGTGTAATTAGTTTTTTAATTAGCTCATATTTAGTCCTCCTAGTTAGCATCTGAACGTCCGATATGACACGGACTAAATTTTAGTCTCTGAATCCAAACACCGTTATAGTCTTAGTGCCGCGAAACAAACCCAGCATTCACAGAACGCACCGAGCTCCAAAGTAACTTTTTTTTTCCAGAAATGTTATATAACACACGTGTATTTTTACGCAAAAAAAACACATTAATTTTTTTAGCACAAAAAACACACACCGAGCGCACGCGGTGGCAGCAGCAGTGCGCTTTCTGCGCCTCGACTGGCTCATTGTCAAACAGTGCGCAGCACCAGCAGTCAGCAGTCCGCATGGAGAATCGCGCCCTGGCTCAAAGGCCAGGGGAACACGACGTGACGACCCATGACGAACGGTGAAGGCTGTAATTTATTATTTGAAGAAGACTACTGGCCAGGGGAACACGACGTGACGACCCATGACGAACGGTGAAGGCTGTAATTTATTATTTGAAGAAGACTAAAGATGGAAGAAGGCTAGAGATATAAGAAGGTGAAGGCTGTTGGATCTTAATCTTATGGTGAAAAAAAAATTTAAGTGTTGAACATGGTTGTCCAATACGCAAACTCTTTTTTCCCCACATAAGTAGCTCATTATACACGAAAGAAGAAAAATATATACATAAATAACAAGGGGACTAGAGAGACAAGGACGACAAAAGAGGTAATATGTACAGTACACACCAGGCCAAGCTCACAAAATTAACATGAACGAGACTAAGAGAGATTGCCCATCAGAGACACAGAGACTACAGAACAGAGTCTGTATTACGCAGTGGTTAGCAGGGCAAGGACGACAGAGCCAAATGCACGTACGCACGCAACAAAGCACATGCTCAATTCTATCGCCATTACTTCCGTCTGACAAGGTTAATCCTATCAACATGACAGCGCCGCCGGCCGATCGCGGGTGACGAATAAAGCTCATGGAAAGAGCGTATCCCGCACGTCGGCGAACGCCGCGAGGATCGCCGGGTAGTGCCGCGGCGAGTTGAGCACGAGGTACGTCTCCAGCAGCCGCTCCGCGCTGTGGTCCCCCTCGCCGTCCCCGCCGGCAGCGGGCCACTCGGCGGCGATCATCTCTTGCATGGACTTGCGGAAGTCCTCGTACGGGTCGGCGGAGCGCTTCACCACCGCGAAGCCGCCGTCCGTCGCGGCGGACGCCGTGGAGCCACGCGGGAGCTCGAAGCTGTACCGGCAGCTCTGCGACGCGCCGCGGCGCCGCGCGGCGGAGGCCGGTGCCGGCGGCGCGCGGCACGGGCCCGAGACGGACGCGCGCGCCCTGGTGGTGGTGGTGTTCTTGCGCGGGCAGTTGTAGAAGTCGGACGAGTCGGACGAGAAGCTCCGCGACGAGAAGAGGTTCCTCGAGTCCTCGTCGTACTCGTCGTCGGAGGACGAGCTGCTGACCAGCCGGCGCAAGGCGCTGTTGGTGTTGGTGCTGGCCCGCTCCTTCCACCTCGCCACCGGCGGCAGCGGCGGCAGGTGCGCCACGAACGGGGACGACGGCGGGCACTTGCGGCCCTCCCACTCGCCGCCGGTCTCGTGCGGCAGCCCGCCGGCGGCCGTGGACCGCCGCTCCGCCTTCCTGCCGGCGTCCGCGGCGTCGAGCGCGAGGAGGGACGGGTCGGCCGCGTCGACGGAGCGGCGGCCCGCGCAGTCGATGGTGATGTGGACCCGCGGCGCGGAGAGGGACAGGCGGCGGTCGACGATCCCATTCCCATTCCCACCCCCACCCCCGGGCTGCTTCTTGCCGCTGCCGAGGCGGGAGTAGGACGGGAATGCCAATGGCGGCGGCGGCTTCGCCTCGCCCTCGTTGTCGCGGCGCTTCCTGCCGCCGCCCCCCGCGCGCCGGGAGAACACCGAGAGGATCGCCGCGAGGCGGTGCTTCAGCTTCTTGCGCCCGGTGCCGGCACCAGCGCCCCGCGCGCCGGATTCCTCCATGGCCTCGCGAAGGTGCATGCGCTCTTGCTTGATTCCGCCCGCCGGTTGCCTTGCCTCTGAGCGTGCGTGCGCGGCGTGGGGTGTTGTGGTCTGTGGAGAGAAGGCGCAGGCGTTCGCGGGAGCGGGTGTTGGTCTATCGCATTCGTGCCGGGCTAATGCGGCCTCGCGGGCGCGGCTTTAACCGCCCGAGCCGCGAGCTAGGAACAAAAAACCGCCAGGTCCGGCCGCCCAGGTCTCCAGACAGACAGAGACATGGTGCCGTGGTAGGAGTGGGCAACCTCGGGTCGTGGGCGGTGGGCGCGCTCTCGCTTCGCTCGCTCGCTCGCACGTAACGTAAGTGGGGAAGAAGAGATGGCGCCGTTACGGCCGTACGGGTACGGTCACCACGTCGTGCGCGGCCGCCGGATGCCGTATTCGCTGTATCCCCAGATGCGTTTACTAGTCTTCCTGGATTTAGCTTATGAACAAGGAATACGTACAAGACTGGTTCTTCGTGCCATGCTAATGGGGCGATGCGTTGCTTGTGCTGCAGTGCGTCGCATTGCATGGGGCCGGGCGTGAGCGGCTCGTGACTCGTGAGCGCCGCGCTGCGTGCACGTGGAACGCTGCGTGTTTTCGTCGGAGTCAGCTGGTTGAAAGTAAGCTTTCCGTGAAGGGAGGGAACAGCTACAGCTTTGTGATCGCAGACTGGCTCAAAACAGAACACACAGGTGCAAGTGCAAGGCAGGCGTTGGGCCGCAACACAGTTTGGGTAAAGTAAAGACACGGGACTAGATTGATCAGTTGGCTGTGTCTACTGTCTACTTGCTGCTTTCCATGCGATCGACGGCCCTTTCTGCAAGGCTGCAACTGCGCCCCCCCCAGACCCCAGTTACTGTGCATGACTACATTGGATTGGAGCCGGCGAGTACCGGGCATTGACTACGGCAACTCCACTCACCACTCTGCAACTGTACACCACTGCGGCGGCACAACTGTCTACTAGTATAAAAAGGGCGTACATGCTCTGTGCATGGTCTGAGAAAGGGTGTCAGTGACGAGTTTTATCCTCGTCTGTGCAATGCGAGGAGACCGCGACTCGAACTCGGGACTTTCCGATCATAGACGGTAAGACTCTACTGCTTCCACCAGACCCGCCCTTCAACCGTCTACTAGTATAAACGTTCCAAAAAAACAAGAAACAAAAAACAAAAAAAAACTGTCTACTAGTATACTACAAGTACGTACTTTACCGTACCATTACGCAAGTAACTGAAGCGTTGAACGATTCCTTGCAGCCTTGCTTGCACACACCACCAAGCATAAAACAACACCTTGTTAGCGTGCTGTTTCTCCATGGCATCAGTACGCGCTGATTGCATTGTTTAGCGGCGAATGCGTGCTCCAGCTGTGGTTAGGCAGGTGAGCTGCTCTCTTGGATTATACAAGCATCTATCTATCACGTAGACGGCGCACGGCTTTTTAAGACGTGGCCGTAATACGGACAAACATGTGTTTTTTTAAGAGGAAGACATGGGTGTCAGAACTTTAAACTATATATAGGTGTAGGACAGGTGGACTACCGAAAACCTATGGTTTCACCAGGATCAACAAAATTACAGCCAAATTTGCCTGTAAACATTAGATATATGATCAGCATTCCGTCTCCAGGCAAACCTGTACCGGTCCACCGGCTCTTCTCTCAGGTATATTTTACGTAAATAAGACACTGTATGATAAAAGGGGATACCAATAATGTGGGGCTCTCAATACATTCTGTATCTGTACACAACAAAGCCATTTCTTAACAGGTCAAGTTCATGCACCTTCTGCCATTTGTATGCTGCAGGGTCCAAGGGAGCACATAAGTAACAAACAAAAAAGTCAGATTCCCGCTGATGATTAGCTGACACCAGGGTATATTAATAATTTAACCCCACAGCATGCACAAACCTATAATCAGAAGGGAACAAGGGGAAAGCATTGGGATTGTACGTGTACACAATTGAAAAAAACCCAGGATCAGCTGATTTTAGCACCTTGTCTGCATTCCCAGTGTGTTGATTGGGTAATCATGTACAGGGGTCATATTGGACAGTTATAACAGCTCAAAAGGCGGATTAGTTGGTGCAAAGGCCTGATTGCGGAGGTGCCGAATGCTCATGCATCAATGAGACAGTGCTCTGTATGCCGTTTCAGTTGCTTCGATCCGGTTTAGTTATCATTGCATCTCAATGCTTGAGCCAATAATTCCTAAGCTGAGACATGTGCAGGAGTATCTCATCGCGGCCCTGGTTGGTCACGCTGCTCGTCATGATCCAAGGAGGCGCAGCCTCGAAGTATTCACGGATTAGGCTCTGGAAAGTTTCCACGTTTTCTTCAGGTCTCCTGCCGCCATTCTTCTTCTTCTTGCGCTTGTCACATTTTGTGAACACAAGGGTCATGGGAACCTGAACAGAATGTGGATAAACCATTAAAACTAAACAGTGACAGATTTATTGCTCAACAACCTATAAATAATCCTCACATGGGTAAACAATAATGCATGTTTGATGCAGATGTGATGGCAAGCACATTTACTAGTTACTACATCTGACTGTACAGAAGTCCATCCATTACTGTATGTCTGAAAAGGAGTATGTTAGTTGGTGTCCCAAGGACCATGGCTCATGCCAACATAGGTCGTCCAACGAGAATTATTTTGCACTAGATTGCAGGAAAACAGAAAAGAGACTAGGTGAAATAATGGTTCGTGGTGAAGGCAGCAGGACAGAAGAGCATAAGGAGGTGGGGCTGTTAATTGGTCCCTGCCCAAAGAGGATTATTTTGCACTAGATTGCAGCAAAATAGAAATGAGAGTAGCCGAAATAATGGTTCGTGGTGAAGGAAGCAAGGACAGAAGAGCATAACTGCATAAGAAGGTGGGACCGCTAATTGATACTGACTGGGTAGGACAACCGGTCCAGGGTTTGAGAGTTGAGGCCTGGTTGCGAAGGGTGGGTGGCTGTGGGCACTGGAGCACTGCAGTATTTACGCGAAGAATGGAACTGGATCTATGCCCAGGACAGGAAAAGGTAAAAAAAGGCATGAAGCTAACACCTTTTCAGAACTTTTTAGTACAGTGTACTAGTATATGTCGGACTGTTACCAGATCCTTTTCCTTTTTACTTTGTATAGTCTTATAAATTTTAAAAATGAGGTAGGGGGTCCAGATTCCAGAATTAAGCTGCACTCTGCAGACTTCGTTGGGTTTTGAAAAGGATAGCACAAAATACAAACAGCAGGCTACATCATAAACCCAATGGCAAAATGCAGAAACAGAGAGCCCATTGCAATTATGTCCTAAATGATCGAATAATTTCATGATAAAAAAAACTTAGGACTTGCCAAGTTAAGTTCTTTGTGTGAGCAAATAAGTCAGTAATAACAAATTCTTGGTTTGCTTTGTCCCAGGACGTCAATATGCCTTCCAAGTTCTAACTCAAACCTCTAGGAAAAGATTGATTGCTGTTGCCTAAAGTCTAATACAGTGCCACATTTGTTCTATTGGACAAGTATACATCTTTCATTATGGTGAATCAGTCAATCAAAGTTAACTTTGACTAACAAGAACAGATAGCATCCATACACATTGTGTGTGAAAGCTAAAATGATTGTAAATAAATCTGGTTCAGCTTATTGCTAGAATCATGTGCACACAAGATTTTCAACTTGACAAACTGGGATATTTCAGCCTTTAGACTTCAGCAGCATTATTTTCTATCGCTCAGATCAACTAGATTATCTACTAACAATATCAAAGAGCACTCCTAATGCATATGGATGAAAGAATGATGGTTAATTAGTTCATAAATTGGAGTTCAGTCGTTTCAGAAGTATGCTTACCTTGTTTTGACCAAGCCAACTAGCATAGTCAAGATCAATCTTCTTGGCAGGTATACTTGCATCTATAAGGAGAAAAACAGATACCAAATTCTCCCTACTGAGAAAGTAATTTCTGGTAAATTCATCCCAATTGGTACGAGCCTCCTGTGGTGCAGAAGCATATCTGTTCAATAAAAGCTCTTGTTAATGCAAGAAAATGGATAATATCTCGACTAAATATATCCTCCAACTAATGGGATGCAAATTTATTTTCTATATTTGTGAATTCATGTCTCACTGTTATACATATGACAAGTAACAGGTAGTCTGATTAATTTGCCCAAAGAAAAATCCAAGATCATGTAGCAACGTAGAGTTTTTTAGATATAGATCGAAGTCAAATACATAAAAATATTAGGCACAGACATTCTCAGTCAATATTGAGTCTGTAAAACAAACTTTTGAACTCACAAACACCAATTTGATGACATGGTGTTTTTCACATTTAGATTGAACTATAAAACCGTATCTCATTCATGCATATACTAACAATGCAAGATGTTTCATAATCTTATCAAATGAAAAACTCTTTCTTACATTCTTACTAGTTTCTTGGACAGACCATGCATTGGCCTTTATTGCCAGATCCATTCCAGTAATATTTGCAGTAGCAAGGCTCTGCCCTCCCCCCTCTATTTATCCAAGAGATGGAAGGGCAGAGCTCTTTTTTGGTGAAATAAATAAAGAATAAAGTCAAAAAGATAAGTCAAAAAGGGTTTGATTAGGATTGTTTAAGCAACTCCCGTAATTCTTAACCCCTTGCCAATTGATTCTGACTTGTTTTAGAGGATTAAACATGTAACATCATATGACACCTCATCCATTTCTATGTGAAGAATATTTTCAACCATAAGAAAATATAAATACGTTCATCTAAATGTTTTTTTTTTAAACTACTAGTAAAACTAGCCAACTTGCTTGGGACTGAAAGGCTATGTTGTTGTTGTAGTAAAACTAAAAGTCTGCTGGTCAGTAGTTTACCCATAACCAGGCAAGTCAACAAGATACCAGCTGTCATTTACTTTGAAATGATTGATACACTGGGTCTTCCCTGCAATAATGAAAATAACCAACAAAATTAACGAAATGAAACAAGCTTCTCTGTACAGTTACTGCTGTTACCTTTATTAACTTTCTGCTGTACAGATGCAGTATATCTCCAAAGTGTAAAACCAAAGGTGCACAAATGATCAAGCCGGAAGAACCGAAGAAGACTAGGTTGTGAATTTGCAGAGATATTTTCTAGAGATAAAATTGATGCCAGAGCATAATTTAGTGGATTTTAGAGATAACTAGTTATAATCCCTAACCAGACAGTTTTGTATTCTCACATGGGACAATAGCACTTAGAAGTTCGAAGTAAGAAGCTGGGGAAAAGTAGTCTCAAATTCTAGTTCCATGTGATGGTAGCTCTTAAATAAAGCTAAACATGTGAACAGAGTACCTGGTTGACAAGAGCTTCCAAAAGATAAGCATTACAACAAGAAATGGTATTTAGATTTTAGATAAAGCCAGGACAACACATATGGCCATGGTAAACCAAAGGGAGTTCAACTTAACAGCAACTCCAAGAGCCTCTCTAAAATTCAATGTCTATATCTCTATTTGGAGAGCCATCCCGTGAATATTCTCTCTGTATATCTTGTGTCTCCAATGGAATCTATAAGATCCGTTCTCTATACTCCAATGGCTTATCATAATTTTCCTTATGTGAAAAAGGTCATGATAGAACTACCATATATTGAATTTAGAGAGCGATGTAGAGAATTAATGGAGCGAGAAGGATGATTTTGGAGAATGGAAAAAAATGAAGAGTGGTTTAGAAAGTCTATTGGAGCCTTGTATTTTTGTTTTCTAAATTTTCTAATAAAGAGCCATATAGAGGTTCTCTTGCAAATGTTCTAAGGGGTGTTTTGTTTGTGGAATAGATTAGTCCATCATTTTCTCACTTAAATTTTTATTTGGTTGTCGAATGGAATGAGTTGATCCATCACTAACTCATTCCTCATAAGCTAATAATTAGTATAAGCATGAAGAATAGAGTCATTTCACCAAATTTGAGGGATGGACTCATGATGCACCACCTCATCTAGGATGGACTGATTCCTCAGACCAAACACAATTCAAACTGCAGGAGCAACGGGCTATCTCAATTCCACAAAACAACGCTTCCTTCAAACACAACTGCGCGAATTCACAGATTCTCCCGACCGTTCACGGTTTCACCAACTCTGACAGTAGCTACAGCTACCGAAACCGATGCACTATCACCTTCAGATTCACTTCCTCAACAAGTAGGACCTCTGTTAACCACTAATCACTAAATCCTAAACTCGATAACGCTGTAGAGAGAACCGTACAAGGCAATGATCCAGGCAAAGCAAAAACTTACCAGGCTTCTTGGAGGTGAGTGCAAGGCGCTTGCGGCGGACAAGCGAGTTGAGCAGCGACGATTTGCCGACGTTGGACCGGCCAACGAGTGCGAACTCCGGTAGACCGTCCCGAGGGCAGTCATCGGGACGCACGCTGCTCTTCACAAAATCTGCGTTGACCACCTGTGCGTCACCGCGCGCGTATGGGCCCAGCACGATGTTGGAGCCCTTAAGTACCCGTGCGCTCACGGCGTCCTGGTCCCCCGTATCCACGGTTGCCCCGGGCGGCACGAAGAGGCGGTCGAGCGGGAGCTTGGCCTGCACCTTCCCCTGGGACGCCCCCTCGTCGTCGGACTGGTCGACGGTCTGCGGTGCCGCGAGGTGGGACGGCGCGGAGAAGCGCGGCGAGAGGGAGAGGCGGAGCGGCAAACGGGAGGGGCGGAGGGTGGTGGAGGTGTGGGTGGAAGGAACGAGCAGTAGGCGAGGGAGGAGGCGGTGGTGGAGGAGCATGGCCGCCGGCGGCGGTCGGGGTTTTTGTGTTTTTGGAGGCGGGGAGAAGAAGTGTGAGGCGGGGGTTTGGAGGAGAGTGGAGTGAAGGACCTGCGAAGAGGATTGGGTGGGACCAGAACGGAGATTGCTGGACGTGAGCCGTCCGATTGAAAACACTGTAGACAATTGGATCTGACTCAATTTTTGCATATTACTGCACTTCACATTAGATGCCAACTCCGATTTTATTTTTATTGAAGAAAAAAGCAAGTATATTCTAAAATATATTTCATAGAATACTTTTGCTGAGTCGTATAAAGTTGACAACTATGTGATAGGTAAAGGTACATGTTTGCCACATTATATTTATTAGTCACTATCCGCGCTTCGCTGCGGGTGATATGCTTGGTTATAGGAAAATTTTTGAGAAATATGGCTCGTAAGTTTAATATGTTTTCTTATCGTGTTGGTACAAAGGTTGGTCTCAATATTGTAAACGAACATAGATGTTGGCTGTCATTACATGGTGCCTATTTTAGACCAGCAAATCAATGACATGTCACTGAAAAGAAGTATTTGATGGAGTTGAACTCAAGCAACTAACACACTTAGATTTAAAGCACAACATTAGATAGAATTACATTATAAGTGGAAATAAAAAAACTACAACACAAGTACTTCTCCTAACGCGAGGGTTTACAAAAAAGTGAATTAGGATCCACTCCCCTTAGACGAAACTACAACACGCATCCAACAACTACGGACGACAACAACGGTAAGAGTACAATACAGGAAGACAGCGACGAAAAGCACTACTACTACGGGTACAACATCCCAAGGCAACTAATCTACCTTGGAACCACGCATCTTTATTCCTGTGCTCGGCGGATTCTTCTACCGTTCTGGCTATGGATCTGCATCTTCTCGTGGCAATGGCTAAGTGAGAGGAACTAAGAGTTCTGCTTCTAACACTTCCGAAGGTGGAGGTGCTGACGGTTCTGCATCACCGGTTCTCCTTCTTTTCAGACGGGTGGATAGGGATCCCCTCCAAGATCGGGGCATCCTGCCTTTCATCAACCAGCGTCCTCCGCTTGGCCCTAGTGAACAGATAGGCCTCACCTAGCTGATGAACATGCCGATCTTCGGCCTCCTTCAGAGCTTCTAACATGGCAGTCTCCTGCCTCTTAGCAGCTGCAGCACTGGCATGCACTTCGATGAGCTACACCTAGAGCATCCGAGTGAAGATCTCGGCTTCTTCGGCGCGCCGGAGGCACGCCCTCAGCTCCAAGGCTTGCCGGTCATACTGCTCATCCAGAGCAAGTAGGTACGTGGTCAAGTGCACCATGGTAGGACTATCTTCTTGCGCATCCCGCCCTTGCAAAGCCTCCATGCGAGCCCTCCATGCCCGCCGATTCCTATCAAGGGTGGAAAGAACCTCATGGGGGTACGGGCAATGGGCTCTTCATAAGCTGGCAAAGATACCGCAAGGCTTTGCGGGCCACAACCTGGTAGGTGTCGGTGAAGCTAAACCCGATTGCGGTCACACTCCAGGCTTCGGTGATGTCGGGGAACTCTTCACTCTTCCCAATGTAGACGGTAACCTCACACCGATCGATGCCATGCTTCTCATACTCACGACCCTCATACTCGGGATGATCTTTGACTCCGAGCTTTTGCAGGGTGGCATGTAGGATTCTAGGAAAACCCTCAATGTTCAGGCAGTAACTACTAACCCAGGCTCCTGCCATTTCTGGCGGTGGCTACAAAGAAGGGCTGAGCAAAAAGCTTGCTCAAAGGGAAAACCTAAGCGAGCTAAAGTGCGCCGAGCGGTGGTACCAATGGCTAAGCCAGACTCTGCTTATAAAGGCGGAGCGGTCTGTGGTCCTAGCGCGGTTCACTAGGGTTCCTGTGCGGGATCACTACGAACGAATCGACCAAATTCCGCGCGTTCGAGGCGAGTGACGTGCGGTGCCATTGCTGAGTAGTACGACTACAGGGCAAGGATCCGACAAGAGCGTAGAAAAGGGGTACGAGGAGACGTGGGTCACTACTGATGTGACTCACGGACGAACGCAGAGCACAAAGCCACAGTGCAGACCTAACTCTGTAACAAGAATGAGTAGGCCATGCACACTACGACATGCGTGACACCTATGGATGGCGTATCTGCCAGCAATACGGCACAATAATGCACAAACAGGATATGCATTAATGCACGTCCTATGCGTCCGAGGTGAGCGATGTCCGAGGCCATTAATGACTAATACGGCTGCAAGCCAAGGCTCCGATAAGAGCCCAAAAAAGAGTGCGGGGAGACTTGGGTCATGGTAGGCGTAACCGCAGGCGACACAAAGCACAAAGCCACAAGGAACAAGCGCCTCTACAAGCATGGATGCAGATGCAATTATGGCAGTTGTAGTAATGTCGACCAACCCCAACCACCGACCATCTCGGGAGCAACGTGCACACAACCCAAGCCGTGTCTTAGATGCATGGATGCATGTGTAAGTACAAATGGTCCTGCATGGTTGGTGAATTATTTTTATCTGATGGTAAGGAGGAGAGGTATTAAACGTGTCCACCTGCCCGGCTTGTTTTTATCTGATGGTAACATGAAGGGGAGGCATCAAATGTGTCCACCTGCTGTTGACCCACCCTGCATAGGTGAAGATGTCCAGTGCTTTCAAACTTACTTAGTGCATTTCTGGATACCTTAGGGAATGGCTTCGGACACTGCTCGTTTTGTGCGCGTAAAAATCCTGACGCTTTCCTTTTATTGGTCTCCGCGCTAGACTAAATAGTGGATTGCGCCAGGACCAATGACCGCTCCACCATTACAAAAGGGCAGTGGTGCTCAAAGGAAAAGCTAAGCGAGCTAAAGTGCGCCGAGTGGTGGTACCAATGGCTAAGCCAGGCTCTGCTTATAAAGGCGGAGCGGTCTGTGGTCCTAACGCGGTTCACTAGGGTTCCTGTGTGGGATCACTATGAATGAATCGACCAAATTCCGCGCCTTCGAGGTGAGCGACGTGCGGTGCCATTACTGAGTAGTACGACTGCAGGGCAAGGGTCTGACAAGAGCGCAGAAAAGGGGTACAAGGAGACGTGGGTCACTACAGGCGTGAACCACGGGCGAATGCGGAGGACAAAGCCACAGTGCAAACCTAACTTTGGAACAGGAACGAGTAGGTCATGCACAATACGACACGCGTGACACCTATGGATGGCGTATCTGCCAGCAATGCGGCACTATAATGCACAAACAGGATATGAATGAATGCACGTCCTATACGTCCTTTCACTGTTGCCAACATATAGAAAAACTGGTCTTAGCTTTTTGGCACATCGTTCTCTCCCAGTTGGCGACCAACCCCAACCACCGACCACCTCAGGAGCAACGTTCACACAAACCAAGCCGTGTCTTAGATGCATGGATGCATGTGTAAGTACAAATGTTCCTGCATGGTCGATGAATCGTTTTTATCTGATGGTAAGGAGGAGAGGCATTAAATGTGTCCACCTGCCCGACTTATTTTTATCTGATGGTAGCATGGAGGGGAGGCATTAAATGTGTCTACCTGCCCGACTTGTTTTTATCTGATGGTAGCATGAAGGAAGAGGAGAATTGAGGTGATGCCTTGACGACTTGGCCCGTACGTCGGACATCGGCCCATCGCGAATTCTTTTAACACTTTTTATAAACTAATTTTAAATCTAACACTGTTTAATCCCCCCCCCCAAAACTAACACTTCTGCCCGCGCCTGCCCGCGCTTCGCTGCGGGTGATGTGCTTGGTATAGAAAAAATCTTGGGAAATATAACTCATATGTGTAATATGTTTCCTCATCGCGTTGCTACGAAAGGTTGGTCTATTTGGTACATTAAATGAGAAAATATAGGAAGGAAAGGTAACCTGGTTTTTTTTATTACAATGTTGTAAACGAACATAGAGGTTGGTTGTCATTACATGGTGCCTGTTCTAGGCCAGTAAATCAATGACATATTAGTGGAAAGAAGTATTTGATGGAGTTGGGCTCAAGCAACTAACATACCTAAATTCAAAGCACAACATTGGCTAGGATTATATTATAGGTGGTAAGAGCGAAAACTACAACACAAGTACGTCTCCTAACGCAAGGGTTTACAAAAAAGTGAATTAGGATCCACTCCCCTTAGGCGAAACTACAACACATTTCGTAAATCTGAAATTACACGAAAGATTACACGACGTCGAACACTAAATTACACCGGGATTTAAAGTTACATGGTTAAGAGCAACATAGGACAACGAAGGCTTACTCCAGAAGTCGGAATAGACGAGGGCAATGGAGAAACAATAAGATAATGATTATCCAAAATATGACGTATGACCAACAGATCCAAAAACAGGAGACTGAGAAGTAAAACATTGTGAACCCTAAGACCAAACTAACCAACGGTAGACTTGAACTTCTTAAAAAACCAGACCCCTTCTTCTCAGATTACACCATCGCCTCTGTCAGAGGAAGCTAGTTCCACAATGACGACTGGATCTCGTAGCTCTGCTTCGGATTCGAGAGGGGTGGGGATGAAGAAGAAGAGCAAGGACCAAGGGCATCTTATAGTGGCGAACGGAGATGGGGCGCAGTGCACTGGAAGTGGAGACGGCATGGATGGAATACATTGTCGGTTCACGCTGTGGGGATAAAGTCGGCCATGGCGCGCTCCTGCGAAGGGGGGGGGGGATAAAGGAGAGGAGAGAGGGTTCGCTAGACGAGGGAGGCGTGCGGACGGCCATGTCCCCAAAAGGAGAAAGAAGGGGGGTCCGGTAGGGGGACGAGGGCGAGGATCAAGAGCGGACCAGAGGCTAGGAAAAGGAGAAGCGCACAGTGCACGAGGACGGCGAGTGCGGAAAAGTTATTATTCGAGTAGTCTGGAGTGATCGAAACGCTTAAATTGACGCAATGTCCCAATCCTAGTGTCCGGTTTGACCGCGCTACGCACGCATCGACACCTACGGACGCTGTCGATACTGGGACCCACTT